AAAATATGGCACAGTGTTCTATAATGCAACAACACAAAGACCAAGTATGGGATTATAGCCTGGCATGAGGTATAGACTGGAGAAGAATTCCTCTCCTCAGGAAGGACTCTTCCTCACTGAACAAAACAAAGTAACATGTGAGTTATCAGCAACACAAAATGGAGGTTGAGGAACATGTCCATTATTGAAGTAAACAGCTATTAAAATTAATAATTGCATGGATGAGCTCTCAGTTCTCTTGCTTCAGGGCACAAACAGTTCAACAGTGGGATCAGAAAGAAATTTACTCCTCTGGTACAGCAGCGCACAATTAAATGCACTATTGAGGGGGTGGAGGCTAGATTACATCTGATTGGCAGCAGGATACCAGGGCATTTTGGCTGTTCAGTATGGAAATTCACAGGTCTGTGACTCTTGATTATAATGATGGTGACTTGTGCTGATATAATAATGTGAGATTGTTTACTTGTTTCTGAGGCATTAGGCTAATATGTGACACCACAAGCATCTGGTAAAGACACAATAGCTATGTAGCTTTGGCTGTTTTTGAACCAAACGGTGCCAACAGTAACATCTTCTGTTCATTTACAGAGGGCACTCTTGTAAAGAGAATCACCATAAAAAATGCTGCTTTGCTGAAAGGCTTTCACAGCTTGATGATGCAATTGTCACCATGGAGATTTCATTCCAACAGAAAAGAATGAATTCTGTGTGGTTCTGCTTTTGAAATGTGTAAACAGCAGATACCTTCTATTGCCTTTCGTCTAAATTTTCACCTTGTAAGATAACTTGGACCAGAACATAGGAAAGGAAGTCTATATATGTTAATGGCAAATTTTATTTTTCATAAATAGCCTGATCTCTAGGGATGAGATGTACATAATGGCAGATTAATGAAGTGGGCATGAATAAAAAGACTTTGAGCCAAAGACAGTAGGGAGGGAAGTATACTTCCCTCAGATTTGAGAGAATTATTCAAACACACTGCTCTGTGAATTTCAGTTGAAGTCTGATTCTCTTTCTTTAAAGAGGAGCTGCCTTTCTGTATTCTCCTGTGGTCCATGTTGAAGGCAGCAGGCAGAGACTGCTTTAAAATTTGCGTTTTAGTGTTGACGTAATACTTTTCGGAAGCATAGTCAGTTTGCCTGGGCAACTTGTTTCACAGTAATGACCTGTAAAAGGAGCCAGGTGCAGGCTGATTACTTTCTGATTCAAACAAAGCCAAGAAACCACTCTGGATGTGTAACAGCTGATCACTTTGTTTATCTTTCTCTGGCATAGTCTCTCAAGGGAAGTCCTATCTCTTGACTCATTTATAACTAAACTACTGAAAAATATACTTTAGGGAGCAATCTTGCAATGACTGGGGGGGATGAACAAGATGACGTAAGAGGTCTCTTCTATCTCTGAATGTGTTATGATTATTCAAGAGCAGACAATGGGTATCAGTTACAATTTTACCATCCTAATGCATTACATGATACTGGCAATCATTCAGCCAAGTGAATGTCACCAGACTTTTTACGGTTTGTCTAAAGAATTTTGGAGCAAGCTTTCCATTTCGGGTGGATAGTCTTGTGTTAGGGAAGCTCATGCTAGCACTTGAAAAACAACTGTATGACAGCACTTTAAACCTGTAGTTTGGACTGGATCTTGGGCTATGAAGCCTAGCCAAGGCATTACTTAAGTTGAGTGGGTTATTTTTTGGTTAGCTTAATTCTGCTCCTAATAGACATCAGTTAAATCAATTTTAAACCCTGTTTAAATCATTTTTTAGAATTTCCATTTAGCCTTATGCAGTAACTGTGATTTAAAATCATATCTGTAGTAAAAGCAGTGCAACTTTGTGTGTAGACAAACTCCAAGTGAACAGTGTTCTGATTACTATTACTTATTTGCTAAAGTCTGCTACTGTGCTTAGGGCTGTACAAAACACACAAGTGTGACAGATTTATGTTACCAATCTGCCTGGGGCTTCAGGTGATCAGGCTGAGGCCGCAGGATCTTTAGGGAGGAGATGATGCAGCACACCACCTAACTGAGTTTTAAAGCTTTATTGATAAAATAATAAAATAACAGCAGAGAGCGCTGGGAGGGTGAGGGGGTTCCCCACGTCACTCAGAGGAAGGAAGAAAGCATTAGTGCCCCAAGCCCGAACCCACTTTTGTACTCACACTGGCCAGGCATGGGTGTAACATAAGAAGGAGGGGGGAGGGGTGGACGGGAGTTCTTGTCCAGTACACAGGTCGTTCAGGGTCCGCTGCTAATCTCCGAATTGCTGCAGCTCTCAGGAGGGTTTTAAGTCCTGGGATCCTTTGGGGATGTTCCATTTGGCAACCTCTGTTCCTGGTGCTCTTTGTGCCAGTCCAAACCGGCTTTCTGTGGTCTTCTCTGCTTTCCCAAAACACAAGGGCTCCAGGGATGTGCAGCTCTGTTCCCCCCTTCGTCGTCTCACCTGTGTTTTCCATTTCTGCAGCCCTGGTTCAGTGTACTTTTTCTTTTTTCGTGGCTGGCTGAGAGATAAACGCAGCTTCAGACTTTTCCTCTAGTGCCATGAACCTTGGACTGGGGCCAAGGTCTTATCGTCAGACTGAGCTTGCTAGCTACAGTGTTGAGTTAACCCGTTCTCTGCTCTCTTTCTCCTTCCCCCTTTGGCCTCTCACAGCCTGCAAAAGAATCTTCCAGTCTCCACTCACATCTTTGACCCTTCCCAAATTGCCCTGTGATACTTGCAACAACGTTAGCAATATACAATGCTGATCTGCCTCCCACTGAGGGGGGCAAGTGGGGGTGTGACACAAGTAAAGTCTGCCATTCCCCCATAAAATATAAAACGTAGAAGATACACACTCAGGAAACAAGGTGGAAATAGACTATTGGTACTTCTTAAATGAAGTTCTAAAACTCAGTACGTTTGTGAATATTGCGGCAAGGATGGGTGTTTTAAAAGGAACTTGACTGAAGAGAAGGTTGAGGTTTGCAAATTGTTTAGGAAGGGTGTGCCATGAGTGGGGGCAGTGTGAAAAAAAAGCAGAGTTGGGAAGTAGGAAGAAATGACAAAAGAGGTATTTGAGGCTGGCATCATTGGTGGAGTATACGTTGTGGGGGGAAAACACAATAAGAGGTTAGGTGGTACATGTAGGCTAGTGCTCCAGTGCCAAGGTGATGGGTGTGGTGTGAAAACTTAGATAGAAATGCAGTTTAAGGACTTGAAGGTAAGGATGAAAAATGTGAACTCTATACGCTGCTTAAGTGACAGGTCAGTGGAGAGATACAAACTACTGCATCTCAGTTACTCCTTTTTTGTCCGCTTCTGATCTAGCCTGAAGCATTCTATGTCACAAATCTGCCATGGTCAAAAGGTGTCTATCCATCTATCCAACTATCGATCTGTTTTTAAGGTTCTCCATGTAAATAGACTGTTACCTTTCAAAAATCCTCAAGCCTTTTGAACTTCCCAATGAGGTGTGGTACCATGGTTCTGCATGAGAGATGTACAACCATTGGCTTTTCAGTCATTAATGTTCCTCTGCTAAAAACAAGAACAACAATCCCTTCAGAAACCTACCCACCCTCAGCGGTTAATTTGGTCACATAGGGATCTTTTAATGAAGTAGACACTGAAGGCAGGTGTTTCCTGCTTTGCATGGTAGGGGGATGTGGTTCAGTGGGGCAGCTCTCTTCTCCTCTTGATAACCATTACAGCTCCTATTTCTGCCATCGGTCCTCTTCCAATCTTGTCATTCTGAATTCACCTGCTCTCCCATATTATTGTGGAACTCATAAAAAGTGAGTCTGCTCCCTTTGCTGACGGTGCAGCACGACTGGATAAATGAACGCTTTTCATAGAACTCTTCTGTCCAGATGTTGGTACCAAAAAATTTAGTTTTAAGGTGTTCTATAAAGAAAAAAAAATTTAAAATGTGGTCCCGCGTTCTTTGCCAGATGTGGGGCAGCCAGAAAGAATATCATTGTTTACCACATCAAAAAGAATAAAATCACCAGGAGGTAATGATGTTGAAGTTCCTAAAAGGATATTACAAGTAATATAACTTTAAAAGCTCTTCTCTAATCTAATCTATATAATTCACACTGTGCCCTCTGTTTTTTAAAAGGTAGTTAGATTTCTAATTTGTTTTTAGAAGTTGTCAAAACAGGATCAAAATGGCCAAAAGACAGAATTTGGGAACACTGCCAATCTTTTGCTGGAGCTAGCGAAATAATTGTAGAGAATGGAAAAATTAAACCTTTTATTTAAAGTGAAGTTAAGAGTGAATATAATGAAATACGGCTTTGGGTAAGGACATCTCAGCTCTGAACACTAATCTACCCTACCCCGATTCTGACTTTCTATATCAGCTCTTTTTTTTTTTAATCTTTTGCTCAACATGAAGTCAAATTCCTGGCTGGTACTGACCTGATTGCTCAGAGGTATGCCTGCTAGAAGGTGGTTCACATTTCTATGGGTTGCTGTTTGGAGGAGGTGAAGGGGATAGTGGCAGAGAATATGTAACTGCTTAAAATGGGGTTTTCCCCCTTTTAGGGGGAAACTGACAAGGCATATCTTCATTGTCACACAGCTTTTGTTGAAATAGCCACAGTAAATTTTGCCTGAAAAACTGTTAGCTGATTACCTGCTGTCAAAGAATATAAATGTGAACTGTAAAAGCAAATTAATTATGTGGTAGCTACTGACTGCAACCTCATATGGAAACAAAAGGCTCTAACCTCATACCATAGTGATACATCGTGTAGTAAATGTGACATTTAGATCATGCTATCTTCTTTAGATCTCTCTTCCAGCAATGTCCATAAAAATGTTTCTTACTCATAACAGATGGTCAAAGCTCTGCTTTGAAACTTCTCTGGAGAAGAATCTTGGTTGATTTCATTAGACTTGAAGAGTGTTCATGCAGCTATAAACTTGGAGGAATTTATTGTTATAATTATTATTATGAAAGATTGCATGTTGAATGTATTCCTTTCCTTTTCCTTTGCAGGTGATCTGCCTTCAGGATTTCTTTGGTGATGATGACATTTTTATTGCATGTGGACCAGAAAAGTTCCGATACCAGGATGATTTCTTGCTAGATGAAAGTGGTAAGAAAATAGCACATTTTAAAAAAGACACAATATTAAAGTGTGGGGTAGCTTTCCAGATCTTATTTAGCCTGTAAAATAAGGCCAAAATGGTGTCAGCTCAGACTACAATACTAGTTTTAGATACAAAATCAGGATGTCTGTTCTTTAATTTTGATTTCTAATACAGAAAACAAAAATAACTGAAAGCTTATGATGGGCTTAATAAGGGCCAATTATCAGCTAACTCGGAACAAATCCCTATTGAAAACAAGTTCATAGTAATTTTTATAGGAAATGGGGGTGGTGTGAATGGTTAAACTCCCATTTTATATGGTCTTTATTTTAAATTAAATTTGAATGGTCATAGATCTTCTACTTGTCCTTCTTGGCTTATCTCCCATGTACATCTATTCTAGTTTGACATCACAGAATTGCTTAAAATTGTCTCTTCCTCCCAACCCCAGTAAGTGCTTTCCTCCCAGCCACTCCCATCTTAAATTTTTGGAATCTGGATTTTGGTAACACCCCAGAATTAGCATGAAAAAGGAAGCTATGGTGTATATGGAAGCCAGTTAATAATGATAAATTAAGACAAACTCCCCACAGAAAACTAAATGAAATCTGTGTTCATGTAAAAGTCTCTCGGAATCTGATTGTGTAACTTCACAAGAGCAAATAGACTTTAGAGGAAAACATGTTTTTGGTCTGAACTTGCCTACCCTTTATTAAAGGATGTTTCTAAGTGCTGGACCATGAGTAGCAGCCAAGGAACCGTAAGTTGTCTTGCGCATAAGGAGAACATAAAAATAAAAAGGGCTGCCAGTTATCTCATTCGTTTGTGATGTAGTTCAGGAACCGATGAAAGGGCTTGTTTTTCCTTCTCCTTGTCCAGATTTTTTCCTCAGCAGCTGGATGAATGTATCTTCAGCACCTTTTTTTCCTCTTTAAATAATTTATAACATAATATCTGAGTCTAGCAGGAGAGTCCTTTTACTTAGAATAAGGAGAAATGCACAGATATTCATTGTAGATATGTTTAAGAATTACTACTTTCTGATCTTTATATAATATATATATATTCAACATGTAATAGAAAATGCATTTGTATTTGTCTGACTAATTGAATTGGAAGGTTTGGAGGTTTTTTTGTTTTTTGTTTTTGGGTTTTTTGTTTTTTGTTGTTGCTTATCTGGATCCAGACTTTTGAGTTTTTGGAGGGTGGGGAAAATCCTTTATCAGTACCTATTTTATAAGCTGGGAGATGTGTGTGAAAAAATAGGTAATACATACTGGTAAGCAAGGAAAGTTAACATTCTGAAGCACATGCACGCACTCACATGTACACGCCTTACATCTGTATAGAACCTTTCATTATAGAGCTAATGTGAACATTTTACACAAGGATTGGTCTGTCCTACATTGACATGTACTGTAGCCTCCTCTGAGGTGCAGTATGGTAACTGTTGAACAGTAACAGACAAATTTAGGACAGGAGTTGAAGATGCAAGGGCAATTTAGTAGGCAGCAGTACAGTTTCCCAAGCTGGAATGTAGCCAGGACAGTAGTGCTAACATTGCCCTTACTCATGTGAAGAGAGCCAACTGATCTTTAATGACCAGGACCGCCATTTTGTCTTATCTGCCCCTGCACAGTGTCTCTTAGCACCACTCTGTAACCTTTGTACAGTGCTGACTTGGAGAGAAAAGTTTCAGAGTAACAGCCGTGTTAGTCTGTATTCGCAAAAAGAAAAGGAGTACTTGTGGCACCTTAGAGACTAACCAATTTATTTGAGCATAAGCTTTCGTGAGCCACAGCTCACTTCATCGGATGCATACTGTGGAAAGTATAGAAGATCTTTTGATGCACACAAAGCATGAAAAAATGGGTGTTTACCACTACAAAAGGTTTTCTCTCCCCCCCACCCCACTCTCCTGCTGGTAATAGCTTATCTAAAGTGATCACTCTCCTTACAGTGTGTATGATAATCGAGTTGGGGGTGGGGTGGGGGGAGAAAACCTGGATTTGTGCTGGAAATGGCCCAACTCGAGTATCATACACATTGTAAGGAGAGTGATCACTTTAGATAAGCTATTACCAGCAGGAGAGTGGGGTGGGGGGTTTACCTTTTGTAGTGGTAAACACCCATTTCTTCATGCTTTGTGTGTATAAAAAGATCTTCTATACTTTCCACAGTATGCATCCGATGAAGTGAGCTGTAGCTCATGAAAGCTTATGCTTAAATCAATTGGTTAGTCTCTAACGTGCCACAAGTACTCCTTTTCTTTTTGGAGGGAAAAGGGGCAGCTACGTTCCCAAACTCCTTCATGTAGATGTTTTGTGGGTCTCCTATCAAAGTGTCGACTTGGCCTGACTCTCTATAGTTCAATTTGGCTGACATAATAGCATCCTGTCTGCAAGGATGTAGTGTGTGTTTTTGGAACGTTTACACTTAAACCTTTATTGTCTAGGGACAAAATAAAAATAAGCTGTAAATCCTCATGTGCTAGTGGGGCACTGTGTTTGCTTGTCAAATATAGAGAGCTTCAATGAACAGTCACAGTTTTTATGTTAGGAATTAGTAAACATAATAAAATCTGACCCCAAAATACATTTTTGTTTCATTGAAGGGTGTGAAGTTTTGCAGCCTCTTAATTAGTTCAGCATTTTTTCTTAGGTTTTTACAATGCTGAATTTGCCCAAGTAGCCTACAGTTGATGGCTGACACACCCACCCACACTTTCCAGAGATTAATCTCCCTAGGGCTCTCAAGCTGTTACAGATTAAATAAGTGAGCTTTCCAAAAAGTTTGTTATGAAACAGTGCAAAAATTATTTATCAAAAGTCTGAGTTGCATTAAGATTATTAGCAATGATTGAGTTTCGCTCCAAATGGGTGAGAATTGGCAGGTCTGCCTCAGCTTCCCTGGAAAGCTGCTGGAAATATCACTCCAATAGGTTTTTTCACTACATTTCTGGTACTTCCTGATTACAGCCAGATCATAAGAACTATACTTGTTAGTTTGGCCTAAAAAAAGGAAGTGAAGAGGAGCATGACTTGAAGAAACTGAAGGTGGAGGGTGGGAAATTAATAGTCAAAGCTTTTTTGAACTTTAATGTTCTGCTTACTTTTATTCCTATTATATCAGGAAAAAATGCCCATCCTTAGCTCAGTGTTTCCTTTACTTGTTTTAATCTGACATGAAAAGGCATTGCATACCCATCAGTGATCAACTGGGGGAGCGCCTTTAGTTATTCATTCCTCTTAGAGGGAAATATATAGTCTGTATTGCATGGTAAGTGCTTTGATTCTCTGTCCCTTGACATTAACCTTCTAGGTATGGTACTCAGATTTCATCCTGTTAAAATACACAGTAAATAAAGACCCCACCACAAGACTTCCTGGCAACCATATCAATATTTGATCTAATTGGTAGCTCATCCTTCCATGAATAAGAGTATAGCTGAGCCAAAGACTATGGGTGGGTTCATCTTAACACTGAGGAGTAGATATTCATGGTTTTCTAAACTTCAGTGAATAAATGGTATTTCTGTTCATTATTTGATTTTATTTAAAAATTTAGCGGAACATTCTGATATCTACCTACTTTCTATATTTAAAGAAAACTGGCACTTTGTAAATACTGATTTTGTGCTATATTACCTCTGTGATATATATAGCCACATATGCAGCTGTAGTAGCTGCTATGTGGGAGGCCCAGGTACTTCAGTCAAGGAGCTGTACTGACCTTGTTTCTGAAGTTGTTTGCTGGCAATAGGATTATATAACAACTGGCAAAAGGTCAAATACCTTTTATGCATTGTCTTGGCTTTCCCAAGGACCTGTACACACAGGGTGTCATCTTGTGATTGCAAAACATTAACATCAAATATATGCACTAAAATCTCCTAGTTCAGGACTCTTTTTGTGCGGCAAATGATCAAACAAAGAAAAAAAGGGATTATCAATGAAGTACATTCAACTTCAGTCAGATTATCAAGCAAATATGAAACTTCCTCAGTTCTCCAACCCTCATTAGCCTTTCCAATTTCAAGTGTATCTGATACCTTAGAATATAGCTATAGTCATCTTTGTGGCAGGAGCATGAATAGTTCACTATTTTAGGTACTCTTCCTTTGAGCCCAAAATTGCCAGGATTGCTGATGAAAACTGCCTGATGAACATGGGGTTCTTAAACAAGAATATAAATAGAAAGAATAGAGTAATGGCAAGAGGACAGCTTGTTATAATACCACTTTATGTTGACAGAGAGCCTATGGTGCTAGATCTAGAGTCTACCTGAGTTTGTACAAACTCCCAATGCCAGATCTTCTTTCTTAGTGCTGTAAAACATCTGTAAAAAGTTGTGTGGTTTGGTGATGTAATATGTTTAATTTTCATCTGTTGCTAAAGTTGGTTCAGTGCTTCGAAGCTATAAGCATCACACAGTATAAGTGTAAAAGTCTTGTTCATCTCCTATTGAGACACCTCCTATAAAAAGGCTACTGCAAAACAGTCCAAATTAATATCTGCTGCCAAGCAGAGTTCAACAAATATAGAATGGGTGGATGCAAAAACAAGTTCAGATCACTTGACAAGAACAGATATTAATGTTAATGGAAACAGTGATGAAAATGATACTCTTCTAGGGAAGAAATAAGACTGGACTCTTTGAAACCTATTTCACCTTGACTTGCTGGCCAATGTTACTCTTTAGCCTAAGTTCTTTGAGCCAGCAGCTTTATTACATCCTCTTGCCAGGAGAAAACATTGTGCCAGGAAAATCTGATTACTATTTCACAAAGGAAAAAAAAAAGGTTAGAAGTATCATGTTTATACCTGGTAAGTTCCTGTAACCTTGATTATGTCCTGCCTGTGAAAGGGAGAAAGGGAAAAATAAATCACCATCCCCATCTGCTCTGATTTATAGAACACAGGCTGATGTGTTGAGCAGCTTTTTGGCTGGATGCAGGAGCAAGGAGCCTGCTGGCTTTGGCAACGGGAAAATTACCATGGGTTCT